TGTTTGCTTTTCTTGAGCAGAATCGGAACCAAACCACTAACTGTATGCTCACACCTTTCTCCATTTTTTTCAGTGTTATACAAAAAATCAAATACAATATTTAAGATTATTCCTAGACACATTCACAGACTACTAGAAATATGTTCACAGCTCTCTGGTAAAGTGGCAATGAACACATCAGTGACTGTAAAGAAAACCTTACCAGGAGTGAAGAGAAAAAAAAGTTTAGAGGGAGAATAATCAAGTGCTGACATATCTGTTTTGAAGCAAAGTATTTTCAAATATTTGTATCAAATATCCTCAGTAATGGCAAAAATGAACAAAGTGCTATCTCCTTTTGGAGAACAGATATCCTAAGACAGGTAAGACAACTCAAGCATCTTAATGAATTAGCCAGTTACTGGAAATTCACCTTGAAAAGCAGCAGTTTGCTGTCAGCAGCACTACACAGCCATCCCAATCCTGCAACTTCACCCTCGTTTGTTTTTTTTTGCACCTTGAATCCAGTTACAGAAAGCATGTAACTGAATCAGATGCAGGTTTTCAGCTGCAAAAGTTTCAAACAGTTATCTTGTTATTGGAAAAAATAAAAGAACAAGGAAACAAATGAACAGAATCAAAAGGTTCCTTCCAAAACAGTTTCACTTTAGGACATTATAAGCAACACCAAACAGAAGAGGTGTGTAAGAGGAATGGTCACAGGATGAAAAGTGCGATGAAAACTGATTATAACATTATATTTACATATCCCACGGTGATCAATATTGTGAAGTTGATCTCAAGCTTTTCTAAACCTTTGAGGTACTAGCAGGTGATTAGAGCAAGGAGTTTTCACACATTTATTAGCATTTACCCTTCAACCTGATGAGAATGGTGTATCGCCATTAAAGAAGGACAAGTACCCATCGTAATGTGAAGACCAAATCCAATTTTGTCCCTTATGAAGTAACACTGGGGAAAAAGGATTACACCACTTACTGTTTCTGAAGCTCAGTGAAACAGAGTTCCAGCTGATCACATCCCATTAAAGTCCAGTTCTCCTCAATGCATACTGAGGTCCCTTACAAAGTACTTCAAATGCAATTTATTTATTTTTTTATATAGGCTTCTGCATATAAAGACTGCATTTTGCAAGCCAATGTATCTCGGATTTTATCCAAAATACTTTCAGAATTGGTTTAATTAGTTTGCAGGACATCTTTCCCCAAGAATCTGTGGTTTCTCCTGGCTGAATGCATTTCAGTAATTGTTTCCCAGCAGACAGACTGCTATGTCTTACAAAAGATCTTTTTGTCCCTTCGTTCCACTTCTGGAGGAGTGACTGTTCTCCCCTCTTAGCATCAACTCTACATGCTTTGTCAGTGTAGTATTAATAGGTTAAGAATCATTATTATGATTACTTATAATAACATTAATACAGCATCAATGATTAGCTACGTTAAACTGTTGAAACTTAACTATATATTAGCGATATTAAACTATTGTTTGAATTACAAGATTATTGAATTTATTTCTGCTCCTAGATACGAAGTCTTGAGCACCACAGTGTACAAAGGGAATGCACAACCATGAAAGTCTACTGTTAAAGAAAAAAAATGGGATTATTACCCCACAAAGCTTTAACTGTACACTTCTTTTAAGACTGTCGATATTGAAAGCTTTTAAGTAGAACATTCTCACATTAGCCGCAACGCTGGGTTTCAGGTTTCTCTCCCACCACAGTATTATCAAATTGTTTGCATGAACTAAAGTGATTTTCTTCTCTACATAATACACAGGAAAAATGCCAGACTAGACAGCTGTTAATTTTACTTTGAAGAGATTCTACAAAGCACTACAAGTTAGGGAAATGACTCAAAATGGTAATGCAAAGTCAGTGGGGAATCAGCTCACTTCATTAAACATCTGCATCACAAGCCTGAGACTCATATGGAAGTTAAATTGGTTTGTCAAACCCATATTTACTGTAGTGTTTTGTCTCATATTTTCCAGTGTAAGTACTAAGCAAAACAAGAACAGTCACCATCCTTCTTCTACAAAGATTTTATTTCCCTTGCATTTAATCTATAAATCATTTAAGTGATTAAGGTCTAGCCCCGTGATTTATTGAACAACTGGCTCGCTTTTATTCACAGTTCTCCTTACCACCTCTACCTACTGCAATACACCAGAGCCACTGACAGCGTAAGCCATGGCATCTAAAAAAATGAGCTTGACTCATACCCTGGCTCTTACACACTAACTGTCCACAGCAAAACATAAGCAAATGCTGTAACAGCTCTTACTAAACCAGCCTGCTCTTCCCCGAGGATTGGCACGCTGAAGGCTGAAGACACCACAGAGAAAACCACCTCCAGTTTCCTTTTGGAAGCAGGAAAGAACACTGCTCTAAATAAATGCACCAAGAATATGAAGTTAGAAACGTCATGCTTGAATTAAAGAGCCTGCTATGAAAAATACCACTCATCTAGGAATTAACACGGCTGTCTGCAGTCATACCAAGTGACAAGATCCCTTTAAACTATTTGTAGGAACTACTTTAAGTGACTGTTTTTTCCCCTCTGCTCATGACAGCTGTGTATTTCCAGAGACATGGCTCTTACAGACAGGTTTTCAAGTCCAGCAAAAGCCTTGCACCAGTGAGGTGTGACACTGAGTACAGAGTGCAGTGGGCATATGCTGCTCTCAATTACAAATAATTAGCGAGAGCTTTGGCTAGCAGTCATTACTTTGTATGCCTGGTGCTCGAAACATCCTCTTATTCTCCTAAGATTAAGAAACAGCCACTGATTGTGTTACTCCAAGCCATATTTGGGGCAAAAAGGGTGGCTGATCCCACAAAGCTTCATACAGTGGCTACTTGTATAGACAAACAAGAGTTTGGCTTGAAACCCCAAGAGTTTGGCTTGAAAACCTAAAGAACTGAGATCTCATCTCCTTCTCTTGCTTTAACCAAGGCACAGCCCTTCCTGCCATAGGAGGGAAGAAGAAGACCACTACTCAGTTCGAAGCAGAAGGATCACCAACAGTAGCGCCCATTTCAGGGAGAAGTTTACCAGCTGCCTTCTCAGTAATCAGAACTGCTTAAGGCAGATAGAGAGAAGTTGTTCTGTACAGTAAGAAGGCAATGATAAGACTGACCAATGGTGTCAGTAAAACGCACTGCAAGAATCACAGGGTCAGTCCTCACTTTCAAGAAAAAAAAAAAAAGAGAAAAAAACATAACTATACTTTCCAAACAAACCGTTCCCAGTCTAAATGCTGTACAAGGGACTGCACTGAAAAGAGCTGCACTGGCACACCAAGCAGAAGTACAACAAGTTTCCAATTATACTTTAAACATGTTTTGGATGTGAAATGAAGCCTGATACCCATTACAAAGAACTCAAGAAAAGGGCTTGCAAAGTCCTATCAGAAGAGGAATGCAATTGACCCGGAAAGAGGGAATGACCAAGGTAGAGGCACTGAAAAGTGATGAAGTAGAAAGAATGATCCAATGCAAGTTGTTTTGTTTCTTTATATTCTCCCATATCAGCCCAGAGTGCCTGCTGGCATATGTGAAATGCAGCAACACAAATAAAAATGCATTGATTTTTTTACAAAATAAACATTTATTTTAGTGAAAATCTATCGCAATTATTTAAAGTATCCCTTTTCAATAAAAATAATTTAAGACAACACACACTGATTACAGTGGTAAGACAACTACCACACTTACCTGTTTGACAGGACACATCTTTGTGAGATGCCCGAGGCTTGTCCTTCGGAAAAGCCATCATTAAATGCTCCACAGTATTTGCCGGAGCTGGGGATGGTTTGCATCATCCCATCCAAGCGAATTTGACCTATACTTTAATGTTGGGTGTACATAACCATCTCCAAGACTGCTTTTTGGCTTTCAACTGATACTTTGACATGTGTGATTCCAGTTAGATTGCTTCTGTCTTCAGGAAGAAGGGCCTCTTTCAAATGCATCTTTTTCATCATCACCTCTAGTTACACTGAACACAAAGCCCTGAAGCAACATCCCTATAGCACTATCACCACGCTCCTCTTCATAACTTGAATAAAACTGTCTGGGGACACTGCCACTGAACACAGCAGGATAAATGCTCTCACTGCCACTGTTTTTTCATCATCACGTGTGTTAGAGCTTCAGACATTGCCTCAACCCACAGTTAAATGGTGAACAAGCAGAGCAGCAGTTACCTCTCTTGCCATCACTTCGTACAAAATCTGAAGTCTGTCCTCTGCCTGCTCTTTTCCACCCTTCTCAGACAGCTCTGCAAGGCTGGCACCTTTGATCTGTCATTTTTAACTAGTATGAGGCTCTTACTACCTTCCAAGCATTTAGCAAGTCAAGAATCCACCCCCAAATACATTTTATGCTAAAGAAATACTTTGGTACCAAGTTTCCTAGATTTGCAGTCAGAATGCATCCGCTTTTAATATAGTCCAGTTACACAGAAAGGCAAAAAGTACTCAAGAGATACAAAACCTAATGTCATGAAATTGATTCTCCAGACTTACTTATGAAGCAATTTATATCAGAGCACTTTCTTCCTCTTTTCTGACAGATTAGCATAGTCTTTTATTCCACCAATATTCCTAAATCCATGCAAATTAATATTATTACATGGACTGTAAATAAGACTGTTAGGAACCCTGCCAAAACTGAGGCAAGATGTTCTCCCACACCCTCATTCTTTCTCGTTTTGGCCCATATTAATAATCATAAGTATTTCACTAGGTCAAAATGTAAAACAATTACTCCAAAGGGTAGAAAATACTTAAACTAATTGTGAAACAAAATACTGCTTGATCTCCAGTGCATGAGAAACTACCCCTGCAAGTCTATTGGAAGTGTATCACCAAGTACATATATCTTTTACTAATGCTGCTAATTACTCAATTAAAACCCAACCCAAATAGTACAGCTTGAACCATTAATCATTTTTACACAATTACTCATTAAATACAACATTAGGCATGTCATTTACCGTGCTGTTGTTGCCACATGAAGTCTGATGCTTTTAGGTTATGCACTAACACGACTGAAATCACAGAGCAGGTCCTCTTGCAACACATTTCTGGACACAAATGAGGAAAAGCTAATTACCATAGACTCATTAAGGTTGGAAAAACCTTAAGAGGTTGCCATTCCCAAGAAGCTTAGACAGGCTGGAAGAATGGACTGAAATTTCCAGAAATTCAGGAAGGACAACACAAAGTCCCACCTTAGTAAGAAAGTCCCTTGCTACAGCTCTGCAAAAGAGAGCCCTGGAGACAGCAAGGAGCATGGAGACAGCATGGGCACCTGGCAGACAAGAGCAGACCCACCCCAGCAAGGGGTGCACCCCATCTGTGAACTGCAGAAGGAAGAGCTCCAAAGAAGTGCCCAACAAGCATTCACCCACATATTTTCCTCTAAGAGATCACAGGTTACTGCTACTGAGCTGGTTGCTTTGCCATCTTCCCAGAAGTCTGACAAGACGTTCGTTGGGTTGCAGCTCCTTTGCAGCTAAAAGCAAAACTTGTGTCACTCTCAAGTAATTCTGATAAATAATCCATCTAAGAAAGCTATTTTCACCTTTATTTTTCCATGCTTTTAGTAACATAGCAAGAGTACCTCAAGTGGCATTAATGCTCCTGATGTCTGAGGGTTTGCTTGCAAGTTCCAACAAATTATGAAATAACAGGATATGGGAAATGCCACTTCTTCCACACAAAAGCAACCTTGTAGAAATTTAAAATGACAGATTTTTAGCCAAGGCAGACTCCACTGTAAGAGACTCACTCCATTTTTGGCCCGTCTCCCTCCTGAATCACACTCCACAAGGTTCTGGCAACGCACACCCCTAGAAGCACACAGCTCTCTTCACTCCATCCCAGCACAAACTTCAGTACCAGCCAGGGAAAGATTTTAAAATGCACAGCCATAATGTTCTTAGTAACAGGTTCCTGTAACTGGATAGTCATTTTTGACTAATGAAGTGCTAATATCCAAATAACTGAGTATTTATGGAACATTAACAATGAACACTAATAAATACCGCATGAACAGCCAGTTCATTCTTTAACTGTATTTAATTTCTATTTTTCTAGTGTAAATCTCTCTATGGAATAACAACATGTTCAACAATGAATTATAGACCATAAATAGGTGATACATGGACACTTGGTGCAAAGAGCAACAGTTTAAGCTATGAATTTAAACAATACTTTTCTGAAGGTAAAATTCATCTTCAACTGGATTTTTCTAGTGCACAGACTTAGTGACATCCCTTTGCATCACTTAAATGAGGTTTTCAATGCCCAGATATGAAAGACTGCTGAGAAGTTCCAGTTGTGCAGTGATATATATTCCATCTGAAGTATTAATTCACTTGGACAGAATTCTTGAGGTTTATCTCTCTGAACTATTAACATTTTTATGCCTCAGGAAAGCTTTTTATTCCTGGGTTTAGTACTACCTGTGAACAACATGCTTGCAGTACTCACCAGATGATTCCTCAGTTACTGATTTTTTTGTTCTCTTAGCTTGTTAATAAAATAATACAGTCAGAGAAAAAAAAAAAAACTAGAGATGGAGACCACAGAACAGACAATTAATAGGAATTCCCCACAAAAAAACAACTTCTTCAAAGTCTAGAAGTTGCATTTTTCATCAGTGACATTGCCATTGTCATTATTAATGTGTCTCCTCATATTACTAGCACTTTATTGCAGTTAATGACTTATTTCCCACACCACCTCACTGTTAATCTATGTCTGTCTTTATTAAAAGAGTAGTAAGCCAGCAAAGACCAGTACTGAGGACTCCATCCTCACTATGAACCTTCTCTATTAACACCTTCTAATCAAAGAAATAAGATTAATGAAGAGCCACATCAATCCTTAAAAAAAAAAAAATGTATACGGATAAAAAAATCTATGCCATTCATTTCATATATGTAACTTCAAAGGCTCTATGTGGCAACTGAGTTCACCACCACCCCCTTTTTTAATGGGCACAAGGATCCATTTAGTTTGTATCCATCTGTTTGGAGGCACCAGAGCAGTATCTTTGTGCTTGAAGTCTCACAGATTGGAAATACTGATACCACTGTTGGCTTTTCTGCTTATTAAATTTAAAGTGATTTTCAGTTATTATCAAATAAAATACTGAAGTTGTTGTCCTACAGTTTCCATAAAATACAATTAGCCCTCTGAGTACTTGTTTTCCCCTAAGGAAGACTAGAGAAAGCACTTGCACGCCACTTGCAAGCAATTCCATGGAAATATAGGAATACACGCCAAAACAGAAGTAACTATCCTTAGTTGTTTTGTTGCCTAATTAGAAAATAGTGATATTTGCTACTTTATTTTTATATGAACAGCAGAGGTGACAGAACTGCTTGACTCCCACATTTACATCCCCCTCCCCTTCTTTTGCACCTATGTTCTAATGAAAATTAGACTACCAGAGACCCCGCACCAAGCAAACACTCATCTGACACGTAGTCAAAATAGCCAACAGACTCCATTAACAGCCTCAAGAAAACCTGCCTGAATATTTTCCTCATAGCCAATTATATTGGCAATGGGAAGTTTCTCAGAGATCCACCTCCCTTCTCATCTACGTTCCCTGTTAGAGCAAGGAAGGAAGACAAGACTGGACGTGTTGCAGAAATGACTGTTCTTGGAACCAACACAACTTCAGCAAAACCACGCTGGATTGCAGAACTTGGAGGGAAGTAACTGAAGGTCTGCAAATGGTTGCACTTAAAAAGTTATTTTTTTGTCTCACAACATGATTACCTAGCATCATTTGCAATGGAAAGCTGCATGAAGTCAGTTTTATCCAATCTTTTCCTACAATAAATGGATTTCTTTTGATGTATCACTGAAAATAAGGAAAAACAGTAATCTGACTGCATTTCAGAACAAAATATCCCCTGACAGCAACGGCTACTTAGATCAGTTTAGCTGGAGTATGTGCCTAGTATGAGGTATAGCTGCGATGGAAATAAAAGGGAGTGCAAGTTTCCTGTCCATCAGCCTTTCCCCTGTAGGTAAATCACCCACACATCTCATCTATCACAAAAACCTGGCTACAGCATTCAGTTGCTTTGTGACTTAGATCAACTCTGATATGTCATTGGACTTTGTGAGGCTCTGTAAAGTCATCCATCACATTCTCTAAAGCTTTGCATATCACCTTGTACACAGGAGATACTCAGGAAATCACCAAGACAATGGTATGTCACCCTGTCAAGAGGCACTATAAGCTAAGCTTCAGGAGTGCTACCATAGTTTATAACCTACAAATCACACATAAGAAACAGCAAGAGACACTTCATTGTCCTTCGGTACGGCTCTGGAAATAGAGACTCGGTATATAATACACTCGAGCTCCCTCACCTCCCAGTTATGCCCAGTGCAGTATATAGCAGGACCCGGGACAACCCACAGGCATACCTCATTCTTTTAACCTAGGTAACACAAGTCTGCAATCCCTTAAATCCATGTATAACCTGTTTTAAATCCACATATAACCTGCTCATCCAGCATCTCCTCGGCTCTTTAGCGTACACTAGCCTCCCTGCTACACCTCTGTTTTGCTCCAAGGGTGGACAACACCAAAATGAGTCACCAATTCAAATCCAGTCTGATCACTTCTCACTGGGTCACTGGCCTAAATGCTGAGGCTTGAAGGGAAAATGAAAAGGACAGGTGTGTGACAAGCTTTTTCTAGAGTAAGTATTTACTCCCTCTGTGGCATCCTGTATGAAAGCGCAGTAATACAGCTAGGTCAACATTAATCAAGGCAGAAGTTTTGTTCAATCACTGGATACCAATGAAGAATTACCCTACAATCTCTTTAGGAGACAAATGTCTGCCTTGACTGTCCACTCAGAAGCATGTGTGCGTGCTACATAACACTTGAGGACACCAGTGACATAGGACAGCTCTACCATCCCTTGCCATCAAGGGAATCGAGCTGTTTCTCAACACCTAAACAAAAACTAGCATTAGACCTAGACATAAAAGCACGCACACGTGCTTGCTGATTGCTGCTATTCGATTTATCAACACTCCCCACAGTTCTACATTAACAAATAGGTTTGTTCTAAATGCCTATTTGTTTGCAGTAGCTTGCCATTCAGAGTCTTCAGCATGACATGCCCTTGGTTTCACCCAAACCCAGCCCCTGTAACTCAGGAGGCATCATTTGCTTCAGGGTTTGTACCACTTAAGATACCCAGCAACTGAACCTAGCCATGAAATTGCATTATGGTTCTGTTACAACTTCCATGAATTAAATTACCTAGGCAAAAGGGCAAAAATTGAAGTTTACGGGTTTTTAGTGAGGATTTCTTTAAGTAAAATGTGGCCAGCTGAATTTTTATTGGAAGTGGATATATAGGAATAGTCGATGTGAATAAACTACATTTTACTTTTGTGTTTCATAAAGCATCATATTTTATCTTTGTTAGTGTTCCCTATAAAAACAGATCGGTAATATAGTATCTCTTTCCACAGCTATTTTATGTAGTCCCATTTTAATCTTTATAGCCTTATCCTTTTCTCCTGAAGGGAAAACAGAAAGCCTTAATGTACACTGACTATTTCATGTTCATCTTCCCCCACTATCCAGCTTCCCAAGTGTTGGTCACTTCCCAGTTTTCCAGTGAACCAGCACATGCCCAGATGTCAAATGAGAAAAAAGAGACATAATAGAGTCTTGCCTTTTACCTCCTTCACAGAAATAATTATGTTTGAGTGAACATTTTGTTGTCGTGCCGATTTCAGCCCTAGGGGTCGAGTACCAAAATTGATTCTCCCTCCTCCAAAATATGGTTCTAAAGCCACTGAGAGTGCTCCTGGCAGCAAGGACGGTGCCACCCACCAGGCCTCCGACACCCCCAAGCCTTTTGTATTTATCAACTTACATTGAACAAGAGATAGATCCCTCAGCTGCTGGATTATTTTACCTGTTTCAGCTTTAGCGCGGTCTATCTAAAGCATCTTCACTGAACAGAACAGAAGGTACTTGTGAACAGTGTTTCCAACTCTTCGAATCATAACTCAAAGGGATGTGTCTCTA